AAGAATCCTTGTTTACTGATGTGTTGACTTATAATTAGTAAAGTCTACCTGAACTAGAGGGGGTGAGGACATTAATGAAAATTTCAACCTTAAATTACACACTGGGAAAAGAGTGAACAAAGAATAAGTTTGGGGGTGTGTGAATCATACGAGAGGTGAAATGATATATTTGACCACAGAGGTTCGGGAATTGAAGCAACTTGTAAAGTCATGATTGTCTACTTAGTTCTTCACACACACACGTCAGTTTTGCATTGAAAAAGTAGATATTAGTTGGGTATTGTGACTTTGAAACAGTTTGTAAATTTAATACTATAATTTCAAATACTGAGGTGAAAAGTTAGATTGTCTAACTAAATACTCTTGCATGCTTGCGTGTTTATTGTTATTTAGATGATGATTTTGTTTAAGTACAAACAAATGTTTAAGTTTGGGGGTATTTGATAAGTGTATTTTATACACGTATTTGGACCATATTATTAAACGTTTATGTCGTCAAATTATTAATTTTTATTTACTTTGGGTTAATTTTCTTTTGTTTTTAGTTATGGACTTGTTCGAAACAATTGTAAATAAAAGAATGATGAAATTGAATGAAATCTGCAATTTTGGGGATAAAAGTCTACACTTTAGAAATTGAAGGAGTAAATAAATTGCATTAATTTGGAAGATTGCATGACTTGGAGAATAACGAAGTTAATGGGCGTGACTTGCATTTGGACTAACACTTCAATTACAAATTGGAATTCTAATTACATTGCAACACATTGGCGGCTGAGGCTTAAATATATATACATATACACACAGAAAGACGCCTAGAAGGGGGGAAGGAGACGGTGCAGAAATATATATATACATATCGGTCTCCAAAGCAGAAAAAGAAGGCAGCCAGAGCAGATTGTATATATTATACACACAGCCGAATCACGCAAAAGAAAGAAATAAAAACAGAGACGCAGAGAAACTGTACAACTTTGGAGGTTGGCAATTAAAAAGTTATCGATCCATACACGGAAACCGGGGAGATTATTACATATATATATATATGTTCAATCAAGTGGCAAAAATCTATGGCAGAACACGAAATCTGAGGCAGAACAGGGGCACCAAATTCATTCCAAATTTGTTCACGTTTCGTCAATTTCCGGTGATGTCGTTTCTTTTTTGCGCATTTAATTTCAACATTATGTTAGGCTAGATTTTTATA